AAAGGGAACCACAAATACAAAGGAGCTCCATGCAGTGCACGATCTTGGATTAGATCCTAGTCTAGGGAACAAATGCAATAAAGGACAAGGGATGACATCTGAATATGGACTTTTGTCCTTGGTTCGTTCCAAGGTTTGGGCACCAAAATAAAAATACGAATGTGGACTTTTACAGGAAAGTATTATAACAATGTTCAATTTCCTGATATTCGTAAGTGTACTGTGGTTATGGAAGAGAGAGTCCTTGTTCTTTTTGTTTTTTTTTTTTAGATTTTTTAAAATGTTCAGATATTATTTTTGAGAGAGAGCGAGCATGAGTGGGGTAGGGGCAGAGAGAGAGGGGGACAGAGGGGCTCGAACTCACGAACCGTGAGATCACGACTTGAGCCAAAGTCCGACGCTTAACCGACTAAGCCACCCAGGTACCACGAGAAAGTCCTTGTTCTTAGAACATACGTGTAGTACATAAAGGCCATGTCTACCACTAACTCGTATGATTCAAAAAGAAAATGTTGTCTATATATAGATAAATGGATATATATTTGTATTGAAGTGGAGGGAGAAAGGGATGGGAGGAAGAGATGGTGAGGCATGTAGGTAGGTAAAACGAGTGTGGCAAAATGTTTATAGTTAGTGGTTCTGGGTAGATGATATAAAGGAGTTTACTGTACTTGCAACTTTTCTGAAAATTGGAAATTTTTTCAAAATAAGAAGTTAGAAACATACACACCATGATTGAGGAGGGTATACCTCAACAATGGCAAGGATATAATTTATTTTTTTAATTTATTTTTATTTTTATATGTTTATTTATTTATTTTTTGAGAGCAAGCAAGCAAGACAGGGAGGGGCAGAGAGAGAGAGAGAGAGAGAGAGAGAGAGAGAGAGAAATCCCAAGCAGGCTCTGTGCTGTCAGCGAGGAGCCTGACACGGGGCTTGAACTCACTCACAAACCATGAGATCATGACCTGAGCTGAAACCAAGAGTAAGACGTTCAACCAACTGAGTCACCAAGGTACCCCGGCAAGGATGTAATTTAATGTGATTTATGAAACTGACGGGCAGATGGAAAAAAAAGGATGTAATTATGAAGTTGAATTCTCATTTCCAATCAATCTTGGCAAACGAAGATTAGAGAATTTTCTTGCTTTATTAAAGGCTATATTTTAAAAGCCTACAGCACACATCCGATTTGATGCCTAAGCAGAAAGGGCTGCTTATTGGGCCAGGAATGAATGCCTATCTGCAGATGCCCTTTATGAGAAAAAAAATGAACTGCATTTTTTAAGCCATTATTCTTTGGATTTTCTGTTACAATCTGCCAAAATGAATCTTAATTTGTGCACCTAGCATCACTGACACTATTTAATGTGGTACTTAACTAAAGTCCTAGACAACGTTGTAAGTGAAGAAAAAGAAGTGACAGAGTTGATTTGTATACAGCACGACCAACTGCTTACTTAGAAAGACCATCAGAATCGACAATGAGTAATTAGAAATAATAAGAGAATACAGGGATAAGAGAACTTACAAAAAATCAACAGCTTTCCTCTACCCCAGCAAACACCAGCTTGGAAAATATAAAAGAAAGTAAGATGTCCATGAAGACTAGTGAAGCACGTAGAAATTCTGCAAGACTTGTGTTTTCATTTATTCAAATTTGTATGTCCTTTAAACAAATTTTATTTTTTATTTTAATTTTTTTTCAACGTTTTTATTTATTTTTGGGACAGAGAGAGACAGAGCATGAACGGGGGAGGGGCAGAGAGAGAGGGAGACACAGAATCGGAAACAGGCTCCAGGCTCTGAGCCATCAGCCCAGAGCCCGACGCGGGGCTCGAACTCACGGACCGCGAGATCGTGACCTGGCTGAAGTCGGACGCTTAACCGATTGCGCCACCCAGGCGCCCCTAAACAAATTTTAAAATATTCTCCATTCATGGGGTGCCTGTGTGGCTCAGTCAGTTAAACATCTGACTTCGGCTCAGGTCATGAGCTCACGGTTCATGGGTTTGAGCACCCATTGGGCCCTGTGCTGACAGTTCAGAGCCTGGAGCCTGCTTCGGATCCTGTGTCTCAGTCTCTCTCTGCCCCAACCCCACTTGCATTCTGTCTATCTCAAAAATAAACATTAAAAAAATTCAAAATAAATAAACATTAAAACAAAATTCTCCATACAGGGCTTGGATGAGATTACCACTTAACAAAGATGACAGTTCTCCCCAAATCAATATATAAATACAATGCAATCTCAATCAAAAAAAATTTTTTTTAATTTTTTTGTATCTATTTTTTGGGGAGAGAGAGCAAGCTGGGGAGGGGCAGAGAGAGAGGGAAAGAGAAATCCCAAGCAGGCTTTGCACCGTCCACACTGAGCCCGATGCGGGGCTCGAACTCATGAACCATGAGATTATGACCTGAGCTGAAAACCAAGAGTCAAACGCTTAACCAACCGAGCCATCCAGGCACTCCTCAATCAAAATTCTTGAATGTTTTTGAGGGACTTTAATATCTTTTTTATATAGTTTCCACAAATGGCTAAAATCAACTTTGATAAATAAGGGAGCAAAGTGGGAGCTAAGTAAGAGATTCTATAAAGCTGTAATGATAAAAACAGTAAGGTTCTGGCATGAGAATAAGCAAATAGACCAATGAAACAAATCAGATCACATAAGACAGATCCATGTATATGAGGGAACTTGAAAGGAGACGAGGCACTCCAAATCAATAAAGAAAAAAATGGACTATTTAAAAGGCGGTACTGGGAAAACTGCCCACTATATGGAGGAACACAAAACCAGAACATACCTTATATCATATTCAGAAATGTACTCTAGGTGGTATTAAAGACTTGAATGTGAAAGGGGAAACTAGAGAGTGCAATCTTTGTGATCCAGAGGTAGGAACAGAGAAGATTCTGAAAGCACAGATTGTTAAGACAAAAAAAAAAAAGAAAAAAAAAAAAATATGAATTTTACAGGTATCCATGCTTTTTTTTTTTATTTAAAAAATTTTAATGTGTATTTTTGAGAGAAAGAGTGCGAGCAGGGGAAGGGCAGAGAGAGAGGGAGACAGAATCTGAAGCAGGCTCCAGGCTCCGAGCTGTCAGCACAGTGCCCAACGCGGGGCTCGAATCCACGAACCTAACCATGAGATCATGATCTGAACGGTAGTTGGCCGTTTAACCGACTGAGCCACCCAGGCGCCCCCAGGTATCCATGCTTGAGGGAATCATTAAGTAAAAGGCAACAGGCACACCCGAAGGTGTCCTTGGGACCAATTAGAAGAAAAGCACTAATATACACATGGCAGTAGAGGCAGATCTTAAAAATGCAGTCAGTGCCGAGTAATACAAAGTTCAGGAAACAAAATGAAAACCGTAGCTCTCTGCCATTTGTGTAAACTGAAAACACAGACACTGTGCTACCTATTTTAGAAGGACACGTTTCGAAAAGGACAGAGCAGCTGCCTACAGCTATGGGAATTGGAAATAAAAAGGAAAAACCAAATATGGCAAGAGAAGGCTCTGTACTGACCTACGATAGGAACCTACCGAAAAGGTAGGATTCACTCAAACCTCTGCAGTTGAGGTCCTTTGAAAGCCAGAAGACAGACAATGGCTTTAACTGGTTATAAAGTCTGAAGCAAGTATGTCACCTACTCAAACTCAGAAACTGCCCGAAGAGCATTTCAGTGAATACAATCCCAAACTGAATGCTTTCAAAAGACATTTTTTAAGCAGACTGAATAGCACTAGATGATGACCACATCACAAATTTGGGCTTACTTTTCAGAAAACATTTTTAAAGGGGGTAGTGGAAGAAGAAACCTTTTGTAAGGCATTTTAAAAAATTATTTCCTCCATGACTTTTTACAAATCTACTTTTTTTTTTTTTTTTTAAATCTACTGACTCTTAATAGAGACTTTCTTGGGAGCATTAGGTCTACTTTCCTATGCAATCTTAAAATGTCAAGAATAAGTCATCTGCATTAGAATCAACTGGAGTGATCCACCAGGATGGTGAGGGCATTTTACAAAGTGCCTCATTTCCTGTTCTACTAGAGTTTAAAAATAACCATACGAAGAAAATAAATAAAATAAAAATAACCGTACTAGAGTGTTCCATTCCAAGACAAGTATCACACAAGCTTTAGCCCACCCTGTCCCTGAAGTCTCCTGCTATCTGACCTGGCTTGCCCTATACTTGTCCGGCACAAAATTCCTGACTCTGAGGGCATCACTCCTGTTCATTCCTCCAACCCAAAGCTGCAGCCCACGCCTCTCCCCTGAGAAGCCACAGGCCCTTACAAGCCACCACCACCCACCTGCCACCCACCTCTGCTTCTCCTCCTGCAGTGGCTGTCCACACCTTGGTGAATGGCACCATATACCTCAGTTACCCAAAATGGAAACCTGAGCATCAGCCTCCATTCCTCCCTTTCTCTTGATCCCTTTCCAACTTCACAACCAACTGTGGCACCTATACAGCTGTTTTTTTTTTTTAATTTTTTTTCAACGTTTATTTATTTTTGAGACAGAGAGAGACAGAGCATGAATGGGGGAGGGGCAGAGAGAGAGGGAGACACAGAATCGGAAGCAGGCTCCAGGCTCTGAGCCATCAGCCCAGAGCCCGACGCGGGGCTCGAACTCACGGACCACGAGATCGTGACCTGAGCTGAAGTCGGACGCTTAACCGACTGAGCCACCCAGGCACCCCATAGAGCTGTTTTTTAATCACTTGTAAACTGTGTGGTCTCCCTTGTGAGACCCTGAGTAAGAAGGCTGCAGTCTTATCTGTCTCATTCACCACTGCATTCCCAGAGCCTAGCACAGGTCCTGGCTCACGACAGGTGCCAAGTAAATGTTCGCTGAAAAGAAACCAATCATCTGCTGCACTGTTTCCTCTGCTCGGAAGCCCCCTCCTGGCACCTTCCTGGATCAATTCTTTATATGGGGATAAGCCTAGGATGCTTGGTAGGGGTGGGAGTGGGTAACTCACCGTCTTTCATACTCCATGTCCTGATAGGGCCTGCGGGGGCTGCTGGGGCCCCTCCTCAGCCGCTGGCTCCGTTTCACTTCCCAGCCACCCCCGCTGCTGCCACCATGATCTGCCAGCCTGGGTGATGCCTCCTGCAGGGACTCTGGAGAGAGTAGAAGGAAGAAAGGGGTCAAGGCAGTTGGGGCCTCCTTGAAAAACCCTTGCTCGCGCGGCTCTCTGCTGTCCCTTAGCCCAGGGACATTATTTCCCAACTTCGTAGTGTTCCTATGGACCAGGGTGGGAAGGCAGCCCCTACCTGGCCTGCTCCTTCCTCTCCCCACAAACGTGAGGCTAGAACCCACCACCCTAGAAATAGCAAGGCCAGGGGCACCCAGCTGGTTCAGTTAGTAGAACATGCAACTCTGGATCTCAGGGTTGTGAGTTCAAGCCCCATGTTGGGCGTAGAGCTTACTTAAATAAAATAAAATAAAATAAAATAAAATAAAATAAAATAAAATAAAATAAAATAAAATAAAACAAAACAGAAAAAGCAAGGCCCTCAGCAGAGAGGAAGCATCCTGCAGAGAGACGTGGTGGTGCCACCTATTCTGTGATCAAGGCTTTGCCATCTGAGACTGGTAGATGAGACCGAGCCTGGAGCTACCGCCCAGGGGGCTCTCAGTGCTGGATGATCTGTCTGAGGTCAGGCATGTTAGGCTGGGAGGCAAGACCTCACAATGGGAGTCCTAGGCACCCACCAAGCTCCTTCCATGCCCCCCCACTCCCCGCTCAGTGCCACTGCATTCTCCCAACAAGATGTTGGCTGTCCCCTACAAGACAGCAGGAGATCATGAAAGGCCCAGAGGGTAAAGGGGCTAACTTGGCAGTGAGACAAATGCCGCCTCCCCGGGCTCCTGGCCAACGCAGCTTTGGCCCTTACTCGGCAACTGGCTCAGCCTCGAGCCCTGTCTCTTATGCGCAGCCAGGTCCCAAGGTGGTTCTCTCCCTAGGGCTCTGGGCCCAACTTATTCAGAGGCGAAAGGAGTCCTTTTGAGGCTGTTTCCAACCACTGTGCTGTTCTGCTGGGATGGAAGGGCAGTCGCCTCACCCAACCCCCAAGCCTGCCATGAGAACTAAGTAAGTCCTGTGAGCCACGTGACCTGGCCAGGGGTCACCAAGAAGTATCCCAGAATCTTCAGGCCCCACCCTCTGAGCAGGAATCAGGCAAAGCCAGGCGGTAACAACACTTGCCCAACACTAGTTGCCACCACACCTCTCCTCCATGTATACACACAACCAATTTTCCCTTCCTCCTCAAGCCACAGGGAACCAGAGTTACCTGCTCCCAGATGGATAAGAGTTATGATCACAACCAGGGGTCCCAGTGGATGCGAGCCAGATAGAAAACCCTCAGTAGACTCTGGCAAGGAGGTCAGAGTCACACACCGGTATCCACGACAGATAGCGACCAAAGTCACAGACAGCAGCCCCAACTAACTACAGGCCAAAAATCACAAGGCAGGAACCCACAACGAATACCAGCCATAATCACACACTGAGGCCCTCTTTCAAAAGATGAGCGTCAGAGTCACAGACCCGAACCCCTTCTAAAAGAAGTGGCTATAAGTCATGCACACATTCCTTGCACTCCGTCCCCACCTAGCAAGTGGGTTAGGGCCAGTCGCAAGACGACTCCCTATGGATAATCGGACCCCTCCCCATGGATAAAGACCTGAGTTACAGCACGTACTCCAAGGATAAAGACCAGAGTCACACGGACGTCTGCCCTCCCCCCCCCCCCCAGAATAAGGACCAGAGCCACAGAATACTCCCCCATAGACCGGTAAGTACCCAAGTCACACCGAGCAGACAGCACACCCTCTCCCGTATGCATAAAAACATGGGCCTCCCCACGGATAAAGTTCGGTGTGGCAAACAGCCACAGAAGCCCACTCAAATCAGTCCCTCCCTTCCCCCAACCCGCGTGCACCCATCCTGTGCCCCAATCGCGCACGCGCCTCCGTTCCCAAAACGGAGGGGGGGGGGAGAGACACCCCCTCCCGAGTTCAGGCCATGCACGCATCTCTCGGTCCCGCGCGTGGCCCAGGCCCACGTCCCGCAGTCCGCCCACACGCCTCCTCTCCGCACCCGCCCGCCCCCGGCCCCTTACCTCCGCCCCCACGACCAGCGGCGACGCTCACCTTCTCGGCCCGGGCTGTCAAGGGAGGGCTCCCGGACATCACCTCTGCGCGCCGCCACCTCCTCCAACTCTCCCAGCTCAGCCGGGGCCGGCCCGCACCAGCGTTAAGTCTGAGGCTGGAAGCAAGAGGGCGGAAGAGCGGGGAGGGGAGAAGCGCCAAGCGCGCTACCCTCCCCAGGAAACCCACTGCCGCCTACTCCCAGCCGGCCGCAGTCACCAGCACAAAATGGCGACGACGAGAAGGGAGCCGGCGCTTCGACCACCATCCACCTACTAAGGGAGCGCGCTCTGGTCGGTCTCGTCTATTGGTCGCCAGCTGCCGACGGCCAGCCCTGGTCGGCTCTGATTGGCAACCATATGCCACCTCCCCACTCTCCGTGCGAACGCTTGCAAGTTGCAAAAAGGAGTAGCTATTGGCCAATCCAGCGAGTCCCGCTCTTTGGAAGCTGGGCTTCCTCCGAATCATGAAAGACAAGCGGAAGCTCCGTCCCTTTACCCAAAAGACCGAGGAAATCTCCGGGCCATTGACTGGGACCCGCATCCATCCAAGTGTCAACGCTTCCTTATCAAGGAAATGGGCAGACCTCTCAGCCGTAAATTCCTTAGCCTGACCGAGAGGTTAAAAAAATGGTCGCTCCCCTGAGGCTAGGACAAATGGAGGGAAAGAGGGCTGGCTACTCAGCACCTGGCCACATTTGAAAACAAAATCCAGGGGCGCCTGGGTGGCACAGTCGGTTGAGCGTCGGACTTCAGCCAGGTCACGATCTCGCGGTCCGGGAGTTCGAGCCCCGCGTCAGGCTCTGGGCTGATGGCTCAGAGCCTGGAGCCTGTTTCCGATTCTGTGTCTCCCTCTCTCTCTGCCCCTCCCCCGTTCATGCTCTGTCTCTCTCTGTCCCAAAAATAAATAAATGTTGAAAAAAAAATTTTTTTTTAAATAAAAAAAAAAGAAAACAAAATCCGGACTTGGGACTTATTTAGTGCGGTGGGGGCGGAGCGGTAATTGTCGCGCTCGGGCCAACTGCAGCTGCGCAGAGAGTCGCATTTCCGTCCCCGCCCCTGAGAGTCTGTAGAACAATCTGCCATGGCGGCCGGGCTGTTAGGTTTGTGCGCTCGCCGCCTTTCGGCAGTAGCGGCGACGCGAGGGCTCCCGGCCGCCCGTGTTCGCTGGGAATCCAGCTCGTCCAGGGCTGTGATCGCCCCGTCGGCTGTGGCAGGAAAGCGGTCGCCGGCACCGACTGTACGCTGGCAGGAGGACCCAGAGCCGGAGGACGAAAACCTCTATGAGAAGGTGAGAGGGAGGGGGCAACGGGACGCCAGAAGGGTCAATCGGGGGCCGGCGGACGGGGCGCCTTAGAGGACGTTTTTAGGCGGCTGAGAAGTGCGCTGCTGGCGAAGGCCTCAAAGACTTGGGAACTTTGCCTAGATTGATTTTCTTCTTTAGCCCCTGGTAATCTTCGGTTCAGGGCCAGAGGCGAGATTGGCCTCGTTTTGCAGACAAATAATCAAACCTGAAGTGGGAAGTGCTCAAAACACGTTAGAAGCAATATAGTATAACGGTAATGATACTGAACACTGATACGGGGTTTGCTCAGTGCAAGTGCTTTAAACACTTTACGTACCTTATCTCATGTAATCCTCAAAACAGCCCTGTTTGGAAGTAGGGACTATTTAGCATACCCATTCTACAGATGAGGAAACTGAAACCTGATGATATTAAGCGACTCGCCCAAACTCGCATGGCTGAATACGTGGCGGAACCGGGTCTGCTGTGCTGTGTGGATAGCAGAGACTCAAAAATCAGAATGCCACGGTTGGAATACAGGCGCTGACAGTTATTCATCTTTGTGACCTTGGACAAGCAGCTTAACTCCTTGGTGCCTCTTTGTAAAGTGGGGAAAGTATTAAGACACCTTCTAGAAAATAAAATACTACATCTGCCTCATGTAATTAAATGAGTCACAATGCTCAGTACAGCACCTGGCCCTTAGTGTTCAGCATTAGAAGATGTTAATTATTATTGTTACTTTCCACCTTGCTGGGATATGGTGAGGTTTGTGTATGGTACACTTCATCAGTACTAACCTCTGGCTTGGATATATAGGATATATAGATGCATATTCATTTATTCATTCATTTTGTAGATAAGTATGGAGGGCCTGCTGTATGCCAGGTGCGGTTCAGGGCCCTAGTGTGTTCAGCAGTGTGGATATTGGATAAAGCCCGTGCTCTCATAGAGCTTATATGATAATGGAGAGCACAAAATAAACATGTAAAATATTTGGAAACGGTCGTAGTGAGTATGTAATGATAAAAAATAATGTGATAGGATCTGGGGAGATGCTACCTTGGTAAATTAATAACTGCTAGAAAGTGAGTTAAGCAAGATAAGTAGATGGAGAGTGATTTGGGGGTAGGGCAAAAATTTTAGCAGGTGAAGCCATAGGAAATTGGCACTATTCAAGCATTTTTAACCCATGAAAGTGGCAATTTCCTGTAGTGTGAGACTGGTAATGGATAAGGCAATTAGGGAATGCCTCCTAAAGGAAGTAACTATGAAGCCAAAACTTTGAACAAGGAGACAGATCTAGCCGCGACAAGATATGGGGGGAAGGCTTTCCAGGCAGAGGGGATAGTAAGTGCAAAGGCCCTGCGGTAGCAAGGAGTTTGACAAGTCCTAAGACTAGAAAGAGGAATTAAAGAAAGGAGGAGAGATTGGTGTGAGGTGAAACTGGAGACCAACTTATGCAGGGCCAGCATAAGGCTTTGTGGAGCCACAGGAAGCTCTCATTGACCTCTTCTTCTTCTTGCCGCAGAACCCAGACTCCCACGGTTATGACAGAGACCCTGTTACGGACGTCTGGAACATGCGGGTCGTCTTTTTCTTTGGCTTCTCCGTTGTCTTGGTCCTCGGCAGCACCTTTATAGCTTATCTGCCTGATTACAGGTGCATGGGGGTGTCCAAGAGAGTGGGATGGGTGGGAGCAGATGCAGGGGTGGAGGTTGAAGGGGACTGTGCCAGGAATCCTGTTCCTTGTGCCAGTGGGGCATAGGCGAGGACTAAGATGGGGATTGGTGTCCAGTGTGGCTCCCTCATGTCTACTCCCTTGCTGCTGCCTCCAGAATGCAGGAGTGGGCCCGCCGGGAAGCTGAGAGGCTTGTTAAATACCGAGAGGCCAATGGCCTCCCCATCATGGAATCCAACTGCTTTGACCCCAGCAAGATCCAGCTTCCGGAGGATGAGGACTGACCAGTTGCCAAGTGGGGCTTAAGAAGCATCATCTTCTCACCGCCTGCCTGTCATTCTGCCCTTTCTTCAGAGCACCTAATTAAAGGGACTGAAAGTCTGACTGGCTGGTGTTGGTTTTGTTGCAAGGAGGGGATGTGAGAATGGGGGTAATCAGGTCTTCACAGGCCACTGCAGCCTGTTTTGGAGTATTCTGGGTAACACCCACCCTAAAACTTAGTGGCTTAACACAATTTAGTATTGTCTTTCGTGGTCCTGTGGTTGACTGGGCTCAGGCAGGTGGCTCTTCTTGGGACCTCAGGAGGTTGCAGTCAGATGCTGGCTGGGGCTGGAGGCATCTGAGGGCTCAGCTGGGATAGACGTCCAAGATGGCTTCTTCATTCACATGTCTGGCTCTTTGATCTTCCACGGGGCTTCTCTCTCCAGCAGGATAGCCTGGGCTGCCTCTATGGTGCCTCAGGGCTCCTCTGGATGGGGGTGTAGCCTATAGGAAAAAATTGATGGCAACCATCTTTAGAGAAAAGCTACCACCCTGGGACCTCCTGTGTTAGAAGAAGGGTCAGGACCACCAGGGATCAAGGGTGGTGTGTCAGAGCAGGGCTTTTCTATTGCTGAGGGTGAGTGTTTGTCTCCCTTGCTACCGTCTCTGTTTCTCTTTGAGCTTTGGGATTTCCACCTGTCTTCTGTCTTGGTGAGTCTGGAGGCCTCTCTCTTCCCTTCTGTCCCTGTCTGGGTGGTCTCTAACTCCAGATGCACATCTCATCTCTGTGTATGCATTTGTGTCTTTGTCTGCCTGCTCCCCTCCTCTCTCCTTTCCCTCTCTCTCTCTCTCTCTCTCTTTCTCTCTCTCGCGCGCGCGCGCGCGCAGGAAGTCTGCCCCTGCACATTCCTTCTCTGGAAATATGCTGTCTCCTTCCACTAGGGTCTCATACTTTCAGGCTTTCCGTGTCCTTAGGGGTCTAGAAGATGGAGTGGGAGACTTGCCCTGGCTGTCTGTTTCTTTCCAGGGAGTCTCTCCTAAATCCCTGTTAAGTGTGGACATCTGGGCTCCCCTTCATGCCCCTGGCATCTCTGCCCTCTCTCTGATGGCCTCATTCCATGGCTCATACTTTGGAACTCCCAGATTACATGCTCATTGCTACCATCTCTGCGCATGTGCCTGCTTGGGACTTCAGAGAATGCAGGAGCCCCCAGTCCCTGGCTACCAGAAGAAAATCTGGCTTTGATGGACCCACCACTAGAGGTGATGTCTCTATCCCTAGCTACTGAGTCTCAGGAGGAGCCTTAGTCCACTGGCATGTGGCTAAGGTGGGAGCAATGTCCATATGAACCTTCCCGGAAGTGAGCAATTTCACTCTCTGAGGGCTTTGTTGTGGGACCAGTCTCCCAACCTAAGGATAGGCCCCCCAAAGTAGAGAATCCTAACGTGTCAAGGGAGTACCCTCCACCTTCCCAGCCTGCAGTTACTGGGACCACGGAAGGGCAAGGGCTGTGTTATCCTAGCCACGAAGTACCTGAGTATATTGGAGTGATACTCCCTATAATAAATGCCAGCCTGTTGCGCCATACCCTGCCCTTGGCCCAGAGAACATATCCCCCCCAACTGACCCCATCCAGGATGGAAGTCCCACGAGGGCAGGTGTTCAGGCATGTCAGTTCACTTAGAGCAGGGATGGGTACGGTATGTGTTTCAGAGATGTGGTATTGTTACCTCTGGTGTAAGTGCCCTGCCCCACCATCAAGGCCCTTCAGGCTTACAGCCACGGTGGATGAGCAGATGAGCACTTCCAGTCTTCCCAGTCCTGCCTCCCCATCAAGCTCCCAGGCTCTCTAGAAACCTCTATTCTGGTCAAACAAGGGGCTGCACTTAGACTAAATCCTAAAACCCATGCCCTTGTTCCCTTTCTGATGGCAACAATACCACCTTCCCCCTCCCTCGTTGGGGCCCAGCCACCCTGGCCACCTCAAAACTTTTTTTTAAGCTTATTTATCTTGAGACAGAGAACATGAGCAGGGAGGGGCGGAAAAAGAGGGAGAGAGAGAAAATCCCAAGCAGGCTCCATGCTGTCAGTGTGGAGCCTGATGCGGGGCTCGAACTCACGAACCATGAGACAATGACCTGAGCCAAAACCGAGTCAGCTGCTTACCCAACTGAGCCACCCAGGCACCCCTCAAAACTTGTTTTGTTTTTTTTTTTTAATTTTTTAATGTTTATTTTTGAGACAGAGAGAGACAGAGCATGAGCAGGGGAGGGGCAGAGAGAGAGGGAGACACAGAATCTGAAGCAGGCTCCAGACCCTGAGCTGTCAGCACAGAGCCCGATGCAGGGCTCGAACTCACAGACTGCGAGATCATGACCTGAGCTGAAGTTGGATGCTTAACCGACTAAGCCACCCAGGCGCCCCTGTTTTTTAAGTTAATTTCTATTGTTTTTGAGAGAGAAAGAGAGAGAGAGCC